AAAATAGAGAGCATAGTGTTACAGATGATTCGTGCAAGCACGTTAGGAGGGCTTCATGGACCTTTCCTTCGATCATTGTTGACTCCGATGACCCAATTTCAATTGAAGACCTCAATTGAATGTGGGCTCTTTAAAAATAGAGAGCATAATGTTACAGATGATTCGTGTAAGCACGCTAGGAGGGCTTCATGGGCCTATCATTGTTGACTCGGATGACCCAATTTTAATTGAAGACCTCAATTGAATATGGGCTTTTTGAAAATAGAGAGCATTGTGTTACAGATGATTCGTGCAAGCACGCTAGGAGGGCTTCATGGGCCTTTCCGTCGATTATTGTGGGCTGTTTGTTGATGCAGGGATTCATGGGCCACTTTCGAGTGAAGAACTAAATCGCACTCCGTCCGTTCCACGCTCAAATTAAAAGGTATCGCAGTCCGGTTCGGTCCCGCGCTAGTTCGGCGCCCAGGCCGTAGCACCACATATATGGAGTCCATGAGCTACGGTACGAGCAATAAGTTGAATCGACTCTCGGCATCACGGTATCGATCGCGTGCTGCTCATCAGTTTTGCACGTACGCCACGGCACGCGAACTTGACACCTCACGATGGCAACGACGGCGCGCTTGATCCTGCTCGCCGTCGCCGTGTCGTTGGTGCTGCAGGTCGCCACCGCCGTGTCGGCGGCGCCATCGTCGGGACCCCGCGGCGGTGTTACGCTGCGCGTAGATAGTAGACAGGTGCGCATATATCTGGCATGCAACAATGCTACATTCACGTCGTTGGTGCGCGTTCATGGATCGAATTCGTCGTTGGTTCCGACAGCTAGCTGTGTTATCTGCATTTTTTTTTCAAACTACCTGCATGCTGATTATATCGACGGCTTTTTTGGGCCATAGAATCATATGCAATCAAGCGTTTGAAGCTGCATGTACATATATACGTACGATCCGTACGTATAACTTAGATACTTACGTGTGCAATGCATGCAGGTGGTGGTGGACAACGGGTTGGTGCAGGTGTCGCTGTCGAGGCCCGGGGGCCACATCACCGGCGTCCGCTACGGCGGGGATCGGACGAACCTGCTGCACTCCACCAGGAGCAGAAACACTGGCGGGTTAGTACATGCTTCATGCTTGCTTGCGTGTTAATTAATTTGTTCTGGTAATTTATTTTGAAAAGATCTGTATATATGATTTGTAATTAACCTTTTGCAGGTACTGGGATATGGTGTGGAACATCCCCGGCTCCGATCAACGAGGCTTGCTCAATTCGTACGTGATCGCGAATTAACTTAATCGCATTGTCAAATATATGAAGTGCAAATACTAAGCTAGAATCGCTATATTGTATATGTACGCAGACTGGATGGCTCGGAGTTCAGGGTGGTAACGCAGAGCGACGACAAGGTGGAGCTGTCGTTCCGGAGCACGTACAGCCCGGGACGTCGGAACGGCGTCCGGCTCAACTTCGACAAGAGGCTGGTGATGCTCAAGGGCAGCTCCGGGTTCTACAGCTACGCCATCCTGGAGCACGGCGCGGACACGCCGGCCATCGACATCAGCCTGGCCCGGCTCGCCTTCAAGCTCAACACGGACAGGTTCAACTACATGGCCGTCTCGGACGACGTCCAGCGGTACATGCCGCGGGCGGCCGACCGGGACGCGCCCCGCAGCTCCCCGCTGGCGTACAAGGAGGCGGTGCTGCTGGTCGACCCGGCGGAGCCGGAGTTCAAGGGGGAGGTGGACGACAAGTACCAGTACACGCTGGACACCAAGGACAACAAGGTGCACGGGTGGGTCAGCACTAGCAGCGGCCAGCCGAGCCACGTCGGCTTCTGGGTCGTCACCCCCAGCAGCGAGTTCAAGAGCGGCGGGCCGCTCAAGCGCGACCTTACCTCGCATGTCGGCCCGACGTGCCTGAGCGTGTTCCATGGGTCGCACTACGTCGGGGACGACATCGTGGCGCGCATCGGGGACGGCGAGCAGTGGAAGAAGGTCATGGGTCCCGTGTTCGTCTACCTCAACTCTAACTCGGAGAAGGGAGACCCGCGGGCGCTCTGGGAGGACGCCAAGTCGACGGCCCAGGCCGAGGCTGCCAAGTGGCCCTACAGCTTCCCGGAGTCGCCGGACTTCCACAAGGCCGGGGAGAGAGGCTCCGTCACCGGCCGATTGCTCGTAAGGGACAGGTACGTGAGCAGGGACAACATGCCCGCTCGGGCAGCTTACGTTGGCCTGGCCGCGCCCGGGCAGCCTGGCTCGTGGGCGACGGAGAGCAAGGGCTACCAGTTCTGGACGACGGCGTCGAACACTTCGGGCGAGTTCACCATTGACAACGTCCGGGCAGGGGAGTACAACCTCTACGCGTGGGTTCCTGGGGTTCTCGGCGATTACATGAACACCACCCGCGTCACCGTAACACCCGGTTAGTACTCCTAGATTTGAGCTAGTGTCTCAGTTTGCAGATTTCAGTAGCATTTGTTTGAGAGTCTGCATGATCGAGCACCAACTCTGTACAGTTTTGCTGACGGTCTGGTTTGTTCGATTTTCAACCTTGAAACAGGCGGCGCAATCAACCTCGGCGATCTTGTGTACGAGGCTCCGAGATCAGGGCCGACGCTGTGGGAGATCGGCGTTCCTGACCGGAGCGCGAAGGAGATGTTCGTCCCCGACCCCGACCCGAAGTACCTCAACAAGCTCTTCCAGAACAAAGACAGGTACAGGCAGTACGGGCTGTGGGAGAGGTACGCCCAACTGTACCCGACGGACGATCTCGTCTACACCGTCGGCGAAAGCCACCACTCCAAGGACTGGTACTTCGCACATGTCACAAGGTAAGACACATACATGGGTCCATTTCCACTTTAGTCCAAGCCAAAACGGCACAGGTACTGACCGACGTTGATCTGTCGTGCAGAAAGGTCGGCGACGACATCGTACCGACGACGAGGCAGATCCGGTTCCGCCTGGACCGCGTCGTGCCCAGCGGCAGCTACACGTTGCGCGTCGCCCTGGCGGCCGCTCAGGCGGCGAGGCTGCAGGTCCAGGTGAACGGGGCGACGAGGCGTGTGGGCGGGGTCTTCGGGACGCCGGCGTTCGGCGACGGCAACGCGATCGCGAGGCACGGCGACCACGGCACGCAGTGGAGCTTCGAGTTCCCGATCAGCGGGAGGCTGCTCCGGCAAGGAGACAACACCATCCATATCACACAGACGAGGGCGAACAGCATATTCTTAGGGGTCATGTACGACTACTTACGGTTCGAAGGGCCTCCCGGTTCTTGATAGAACATAGTTTTTTTTTTTGAATGGTGTAGAACAGAGTTGCTTGTTGAGATGTTCTGGAAGACTAAATTGAACATGAACACTTTAGCTACATGTCAGCTGACTGAGTTTTACATTTTGAGTCAGTCGATTTTTTAACCGTTGATTGTTGCTTCAAGATGTGTGCTAGTTGTTTTTTTCCTGTTGTGTGTGTTGTCCTGTATTGGGCTGCATGTTTTTTGATTGACCCCTATTTTGGGTCAGTCAATTTTTTGTTGGGCTGAAGCCCATTACGTGTTTTCTTATTAGGTTGTTTGTGTGCGTTTTTGCTTCTGTTTTTTTGTCGTTTTTATGGGTATATTTTGGACATTGGGTGAATACAAAATATATACACATAAGTAATTTATAATATCTTTATAAAATGTAATTCTGTGAAAAATGCATTATTATGTGCTTATTTCTTACATAATATTAAAACAGTATGGTTTCATTATAGTTGTATTTTCTGTGATAATTCCACTACCATATGTATATTCTTGCATATTATTGAAAGCACAATTGTTTGTATGTATTGTGTGTAAATTTTGTTATTGTTTGATTATTTTATAATTTCTTTCCTCTTTTAAAGGAAAATATCAATGGAACTAACTCATTCTTATTTAGAAAACTTCATTATTTTGATTTTGTTGTAGTAGTTATTTCATTTTTTTCTGAAGGGTAACACCAAAACCACTAATTCATTTTTTTCTTACATAACTTCATTATTTTGTTTTTGATTTAGTGTTTGTTTCATTTTCTTTCTTTTTTAATGGTAATACCAATGTCACTAATTCATTTCTTTTCAGAAAACTTTCATTTTTGTGAGGATTCTATTATTATATACTTATTCTTGTATATTATAAAAAAGTGCAATTTCTGCGTAAATTGTGTGCAAATTTCTTATTTTTTATTTTTTTCTATTTCTATGCAATTTTTCTTTTTCCCCTTTTCTTTCCTTTACTGGTTATTTTTTTGTGGATTTCTAGCTGAGTGTAATTATGTACATATAAACACTATATAATATGGGCGATGCTAGGCGCCGGCGCACCGGCCGAAAGTTTCGGCTGGTCCAGCCCCAGCCCTTGGATGCGAGCCCGCGTGGCCACTGGATGCAGCAAAAAAAAAAAACGATTCGTCCTGGGCTTCTTCTACCTCGGGTTAGATCTGTAGCTCCTGCTCAGTGCCCTCGTCGCCGCGCCTCCAGTCCCCTCTGGTGGCCGTCCTCGTCGCCGGTCTCCGTCCTCGTCGCCGGCTCGCGGCCCTCGCCCCCGGTCGCCGTCCTTGTTGCCGCCAGGTCGCCGTCCTTTCCCCCGATTGCCGATCTCCGTCCTTGTTGCCGCCCGGTCGCTGTCCTCGCCTCCGGTCGCCGTCCTCGTCGCCCCCGGTCGCCGTCCTTGCCACTCCTGGTCGCCGGTCGCCGTCCTCGCCGTCACCGTTTTCCAGCAAATCTAATGGCCGGTTCCAGCAAAAATTCTACGGATGTCACCGTTTGAAGCAAAAAAATCCGCCGGTTCCAGCAAAAAAATGAAGCCACTTCTAGCAAAAAAATTCAGTGCGGTTATAGCAAAAACGCGTCGCCGTCGTCGTCGCCAGTTGTAGCTCGCCGTGAAGGGTCGCAACAAAGTGAGTCGCTGGTTGTAGCAAACGATGTCGCTGGTTCCAGCAAAAATGACATCGTCGCAGGTTCCAACATTTTGGTTGAAGCTTTCTCGATCTCTTGTAGAAGCTTTTTCATCTGCGAATGAAGCTTTTTCATCTGCGGGATGAAGCTTTTTTTTAAACGGTTGCAACTTTTGTAGTGTCTGGTTGAAGATTTTCAATCTCTGGGTTGAAACTTTTTCATCTGCGGGATGAAGCTTTTGTTAAAACGGTTGCAGCTCTTCATGTGTTCCGAGTCTGGTTTGAAGCTTTTTTATTTACTAGATGTAGCGTTTTGCTGCAACAGTAGTAGATTTTTGCTACCACCGGCGATTGAATTTGCTACAACTGGTTCTAACAAAAAAAATCACCGTGGGGTGTAGTCTGCCATGGCTGGGAAGGCTCGAGCGCTGCAAGGTCTGGCGAGGGGCGGCCGGGGCGGATTCCAGGGAGAGGCAGAGGGGCGGATTCTGGGAAGAGGCAGAGGGGTAGTAGTCCGGTGAGGGGCGGCCGCAGGCGCACGAGATCCGGCGAGGGGCGGCCGCAGGCGAACGAGATCCGGCGAGGGGCGGCCGCACGCGAACGACATCCGGTGAGGGGCGGCCGCACGCGGACGACAGGGCGCTCTTCTCTGGCGGCGGTGGTCGAAGGAGCGCGCTGGTCGCCTGGCCGACGCGTGGTGCCTGCCGGCGCTGGTGCCCTCCTGTACGTGCGCTGCGCGAGGAAGAGGGAGACCGGCCGAATCGTTCCGCCGGTGCCCCGCCCCCAAACGTTTCCCATATAATATGTGCCAAAAATGATTATATGATTATTTTTGCATATTACGATAAAGTGCAATTTTGATGCTTAGTTGCAAGTTTTTTTTAATTTTCTTTCTTCTTAAAGGAAATGCATTATTTTCAGTTACACTATGTGTAAATTATAGTAGAATGCGAAAAATGCACTATTATATGCTTATTTTTTTTTGCATATTTCAAAAGGTGCAATATCAGTGTAAATTGTGTGCAAGTTTCGAAAGTTTTTTTGTTTTTTATTTCCTTTATTGGTTATTTTTTGTTTTTGTGGGTTTTTGACTGAGTGCAATTATATGCATACAAATAATATATCATATGTGCCCAAATCTCATGATTATATGATTATTTTTGCATATTACGATAAAGTGCAATTTGACTGCAAAGTTGTGCGCAAGTTTTTTGAATTTTCTTTCTTCTTAATGAAATAGATTATTTCAGTTATATTTTGTGTAAATTATAATAGAATGCGAATAATGCACTATTGTATGCTTATTCTTTGCATATTTCAAAAAGTGCAATATCAGTGCAAATTGTGCGCAAGTTTCGAATGTTTTTTCCTTTTTCTTTCCTTTCTTGCTTATTTTTTTGTTTTTGTTGGTTTTTGGCTGAGTGTAATTATATACATACAAATAATATATAATATGTGCCCAAATTTCATGATTATATGATTATTTTTGCATATTATGATAAAGTGCAATTTGAGTGCAAAGTTGTGCGCAAGTTTTATTTATTTTCTTTCTTCTTAAAGAAATAGATTATTTCAGTTGCATTTTGTGTAAATTATAGTAGAATGCGAAAAATGCACTATTATATGCTTATCTTTGCGTATTTCAAAAAGTGCAATCTCAGTGCAAATTGTGTTCATGTTTTGAAAGTTTTTTCTTTTTCATTTTCTTTCTTCTTAAAGTGTTCTATAATTTCCTAGAAAATTACAGATTTTTGATATATTTTTGGTTTTTTTGAAAGGATTATACCAATGCAATGATTTCGTTCTTCTATAGAAAACTTCATTTTCTAAGTTTTTGTTTCATTTTTAGTTTTATTTCCTTTTCTTTTGTAAGGATAATGCCGATGTCACTAACCTATTACTATTTAGAAAACACTTTTTTTGTGGAAATCTCATTATATTATGCTCAGTTTTGCATAGTAATAATACATTTTCCACATATGTGTATGTATAAAAATTAATTATGTGTGAGAGTGCTATTCAACGGTGAGACTGCACATGTATAAAAGTAAATATACATGTGTGAGATTGCCCATATACCACTAACCATTGCATGCAAATATGTGTGAGAGTGCTATTCATTGGTCATTTTTTTAGTCCATTCATTGGTTATCTACAAAGGCTTGGCCAATACTATACTGCCGTACCCGGCTGGAGCAGCCCATGGTCCAGCTATGGGCTTGTGCAGACGCTGCGTGGCGCTGCCTGGCATTGTGCAGATGCTGCGTAATTGACTGAAACAGAATTTGGGTCAATCGACTGACCCAATACTCATTTCAGTCGATTGAGGAGTAGCCATTCCCGAACATGAATATTTGTATGTAAATAATTGAGTCAATTACACTACCGGTACTTATACTTGACATGAAAAATCATTTTAGTGCTAAAACTTATGGTATACATTAAACGAGTGCTAGAACTTGGCTGGGGCGTGCATATATGGTGCAAATCTCGCTCGTATACACCCGCGTCACTAACATGGCTTTGTATATGTATACTCTGCCCACGCGGCAGTAATTGGGTCACATCTATCAGCTAGCAAGACAAATTATTAGTAGTTGCCTATATGGCATTGGCTGGGTCCCACCTGTCAGCCAAAGAGCATATATAATATTAACAAGAAAAAAAAATACTGCGCTCTCCTATTTCGAACCAGCAAACTGGCAAACGACTTTAGTTATCATAACTGGACACACAGCGTTCATATTCATTAACTAAAATTTGTTATAATTTTAATCCAAAGGAGAAGAAAGTACTGGACGTTCGAACCAGAACAACTTTCCCAGGGCGCGTGGCTACCTAACAAGACAAATCACTCTTTTTCTGAGAGCTACATAACCAATAACTTTTGAATATAAGTGCATACATACATTTTATATCCTTTCAACCAAACAGCATATATTGAAATTGTAATCCAAAGAAGAAGGAAGTAGCATAAATTAAAATAATCACATATTATTTGAAAACATATTCATTTAACTTAAAAAATACGAATTATAAAAACGGTAACATAATTTAAATATTGTTCAATTGACGATCCGCAATTTATGCGCACACTAGGCTCATATTTATTTTTCATTAAAAAAATATTTTTTATGTAAAAACTAATTAACTTTATAAAAACATGTGAACAATTTTTAAATCAACATAAAAGATTCTTAAATGTTGAACACTTTTGTACACTACATCATTATTTTATTAAAATAGTGAACATTTTTAAACTCGTACGGTAACTTTTTAGATATATAAACAAATTAAAAATTACTTTAATATTTTTATTAAACATGTAAATTGTTAAATTTTTAATTCATGATTTAATCATA